GCCATGGCGGCGCGGCGGCGGCCGGCGGTCGGCGCGGGGGCCCGGCGCGCGCTCGCGCTGCTGGCGCTGTTCCTGTGCGCCCCCGGCGTGGGCGGCGGGGCGCTCGAGTGGTACTCGGCCAAGGTGGGCATCGAGTACGTGGACCCGCGCTGGAACCTGACGGTGCGGAGCGAGTCCGAGAGCGGCCGCTTCGGCGACAGCTCGCCCAGGGAGGACAAGCAGGGCCTGGTGGGCATCCCGCGCGCGCCCGGGGACGCGGAGGGCTGCGCGCCCGACACGCGCTTCGTGGCGCCCGGCGGCCTGGGCGCCGCGCCCTGGGTCGCGCTGGTGGCGCGGGGCGGCTGCACCTTCAAGGACAAGGTGCTGGCGGCGGCGCGGAGGAACGCCTCGGCCGTGGTGGTCTACAACCAGGAGCGCTACGGGAACGCCACCGAGCCCATGTCGCACGCGGGTGAGCAGGCCGGGGGCCGCCCGGCCGCTGTGCGGAGGGAAGTGCGTGCGCGCGCCGGGCCGGAGCCGCACCTCGGGAGGGCGAGGGGGCAGGGAGGCGCCCCCGGCCCGGGAGTAGCCGGGGAAGCCCGCGGGAGGACGCCCCTACCGCGTGCCACAGGTTCCCGGTCGCAGGTCGCCCGAGCACCGGCATTGTCCCTTCTCCCACCTAGGGTGAGGAGGGCTTGGAGGCTCGTCTTGCTGACCAGGCGTCTCTGAGTGCTTTCCAAACCCTGAGTCGGAAATCCTGGGCTTTCTTGCCTTGGTTTCCCTCGCGACACGTGTAGGGCGACCACATTGGCTCCTTGTGTTTGAACAGTTCTGAGTTCAGGCGAAATCTTTTTACTGTGCTCATTGAAGGAAAGACCGCGCTGCCTCCGTCAGCCCTAAGTACACTATTCCAGGGACAGCGGGTTGCACTTGAGATGAGTTTGCAAAATAACCGTGTTTGGGACAGAGTTCTCTCCGGGGACCCAGAGTTCGATTGTATTTCTGTTGTGCCTTCTGAGAGCACATCAGCTTTAAGGCATCACACAGTTGCCTCATTCTGAACTTCCTGTGATTGCAGTTTTTGTTTTAAGTTTCTGCTGCCACTAAGACATCCTTTTCCCCCCTGTGTTACTTTTTTGTTGTTATTGTTTTGGAGTGAATGCCGCACAGAATTTATTAAAAAAAAAAAAAAGATAGAAGTGACATTGCACTTGGCCGTTTTCATAGAAGGTTGGAAATGATGGCCTTTAGGTGCAAGGAAGTGCTCTCGGCTTATAGCTCAACTCTTTTTCGAGAAGGTTGACTCTAGGTGAGCAGAGAAATGGGCACACCTTGTAGGGGCATTGTTGGGTGGTGTAGGAGAAGGTAAGGGGTATCTGAGCGTAATCTGCCAGAATGAAGTCGTGCCTGAAGAGGTTGGGTCTCAGGAATACAAGATTTGATTGTCTGCAGGCGACAGTGGGTGAGGATGAGTGTGGCTGGCCTGGCTGCAGTTAGTCCGGTGTGACAGCTTAGCCTGATTGCCCACAGGTCTCCGGAAAGAGCCTGGCATGACACATGCACCCCTGTGCAGTGGCCCCGACCTCGGGGCCGTAGGTGAAATCGGGCAGACCTGACTCCTAGGTGTTGGGTGTGTGGGTTTCTGGATGCACACACATCTTAGTGTAGACTTTTTCTTTTAAATGACAGACTCGTCACCCTACAATTTCCCAACTCTACCCTACTGCATTTTTTGATAATGACATGAACATCCTCCCAGGCAGACAACACTTATTCTAAACAGGGCTCAGCAACCTTTCTTGTTTATATTGCGGACGTGTGATTTATCTGGATGCAGAAAAACACCCCAGTCATGTTAATTAGAATCCTGGGTGGAGGGACACTTCTTCCATTGTCTGCCTCCTTTCAACCCTTCTTCGCACAATAACAATTCTGAGATTTTTTTTTTAAGGGAGCATTAGCACCTTTTGAAAGTGTGTGAAAGTATCCATGCAGTGAGTCTTCCTGAGGGCCCTTTAAGGTGGATCCGTAACTCTATAGTTCCGGGAAGGAAACAAACTCAAAAGCATTTTAAAACTCGGTTGAGGTTACTCGGTACCCTAAAGGATGTTTGGCTGCATTCCTGTCTTCTCACATTCTGCTTTCCTCACAGCTGAAACAACCAACAATGCCTGGAGATTTTGCCAGAACTTCAGGGAGCAACAAAGTTACCTAGCATTTTGAACCGCTGACCTAAAGGGAGATTAATTTGTTAGCAGTGTGGCTGATAAACAGGGAAAGCTGGAGACAAAGTTAGACTGTAGGTTGGCTCTCATAGGACTTGACGATGCTGTCACTTTGAGAAGAGCTGAGACAGGAGAAGCCAGCTTTGGCTATGCTTACAGCCACTTAGGCCTAGGTTGGTTTCCTCTGTTTAGTCAGAATCCCGGCTGTTCTTAGCGCTGTGTGTGACCCCGGGTTCTATGAGACAGGCAGAAGAGGGCTTCTGAAATGGAATAACCTTCCAGAGTTGTGGAGAATTTTTCCAGTTCTGAAACGCACTGTTCCTCTCACTGGAATTTAGCACTGGATAGCGTTCACATTTTAAATCTTTACTGAAGTCGAGGATTTTAAAGCACCATTGCTTTACGATTGTGTTCTTTCAGAACAGCAGTTAGGACTACAGTTGGACCTGGCTATCTGGTTTTGGCAGACTTAGGTTTAGTAGGTGCTTTGGCCACGGATTGTACCTGCTTAGAATTGGAAATACCTGAGACAGTGCCTGTCTGTGAAGGGCTTCTGGTGTGGCAGTTGGTAGTAATAGCCATACCTTCCCAGGTCAGAAGAGCTTACGCCTAACTGAATCCTATACACGGGGCTTACAAAGCTTAAAGGGTGGGTGTTGATACCCAAAGTTGTAGAAATTATCTTGACCAAGAAAAGTAGGTAAAAGCTGAATCGCTACCACCTTAGAGCTGGCCTTACTGTGGTTGTTGTCAGTTAATAAGTAGCACGCTCCTGGCTGAAATTTTAAGAATGGCATTTTACATTCTTGAATGTTGTTTGCAGAGGGCCAAACAACTGGCATAGGGCTGGAGAAAGGGTTGGAACTGCAGGAAAGCTGGGGGCGGGGGTGAACACCAACCTAGCCAGCCAGTTAACCTGCTTACCCGAGTGTTTCCAAAGACAGGAACCCTAAAGACAACTCAGGGCTGTTACAAGCACTGAAAATGGCCACAGTATTGCAGTGATGGGAAGCATTAGGACTTTTAATCAAAATCTCACTGTGACTAGTTGTAAGAACTTAGTCTTGGGAAAAAGAAAATGCAAAACTCAACTTGACAGAAGCCATATATTGAGAGACTTATTTTATGCTGTCGGTGCTTGCTGAGTGGTCTTCATGGGGAGGCCATCATTATTCATTGTGTGTAACCGTATGCTCTCAAATGATCTGCAACTTCACACTGGGATTTAAAATGTAGCTTGGGGCTGCAAAGAGGCAGATGTGGCACCCTAACAGCCTCATAGAAGATGGGGTTCAACTAGAGCAGTCCCCAGGAAGATTGATTGTTGATTGGCAGGTTCAGGACATTAGGTTATGTGGGGGGGGGGGGTAGGCGGAGGGCTTGTGTGTAGTGACAGTAGTTTGTGTGTGTGTGTGTGTGTGTGTGTGTGTGGTGGGCAGAGGGCTTGTGTGTAGTGACAGTAGTTTGTGTGTGTGGGGGGGCTTGTGTGTAGTGACAGTAGTTTGTGGGGGTGGGTGGGGTGTGTGGTGGGCGGGGGCTTGTGTGTAGTAACGGTGTGTGTGTGTGTGTAGTGGTGGGGGGGCTTGTGTGTAGTGACAGTAGTTTGTGTGTGTGTGTGTGTGTGTGTGTGTGTGTGTGTGTGTGTGGTGGGCGGGGGCTTGTGTGTAGTAACAGTAGTGTCTCGGAAGGCTCAAAGGTCTGAAATGAACTGACAAGGAAAAGCTGCAGAAGGGTTCTCAGTAGGAGTGTTATGTAGGATTTTCAACAAATCCATTTTCGGGGGAGGGAGTGTGGTAAAGTTTTGTTGTTTTGTGTTTGTGTGTTGACTTTTGATGTCATCTTGCTAAGTAGCTCATGCTGGTCTTTAACTCATGCTCCTCTTGTCTTGCCTCCCAATCGCAGGGATTATAGGCAAAAATCATCGTACTGGCCAAATTCTTTTTCTTAATTTATTTTTATTTTATGTGTATGAGTACCACATGCATGGCTGGTGCTCGTGGCCAGATGAGGGCACTGGAGTTACGGAGGTGTCTAAGTCATCGTGTGAGTCTGGGAGTCATCAGGCTCTGCTCAAGAGAGTTTTCTTAACTACTGAACCATTTCTCCAGGTCTCTTACCTCCATTTCCACCCCCTCCCCAATTTTTGACAAAACTAAATGATACAAAATATTTATAATTGTTTAGAGTATTGTCCAGTTGGGAGTTGTGTCCTTATTCATGCTAGCCAACCATACAAAAATTTCTGTTTTGTATAACAAGACATTTACATTCCAGATTATTCCCTGTACCATAATTCTCATTTCAGCTGTAGTCTTGGAAGATAAGCTGTAGTCTTGGAAGATAAGCCAGTTTTTCAAACCCGTTAATTCATGAAGAAACCTTCCATGGGCTGTTCATGCTCCTTGCCACAAAAACCTTATAAATTGAATGGGTAGTACTTGTCTAGGGAGGAGAGACCTATAAAGAAATTAGCAAGATGTGTGAAAGGAGACCTCACTGAGTCTGGAGAGATGGCTCAGTGGTTAGCAGTGAGCACTGCTTTTGCAGAAACCCTGGTCAGTTCCCAGCACCCATATTAGATGACTCACGGGGCTGTAGTCCCAGCTCCAGGGGATCTGATTCTAGCCTCCTTGAACACCTCACTTGAATGCATGTATGTGTGCTCAGCAGACAGTTAAAAATAAAAGTGGTGACAGTGACCACAGGGAAGGCAGGGGTCGCTGTAGAGGCTAAGCTGAGGTTGCCCTCTCCAGGAGAATAGAAATGATTAGAATGTGGCAGTTTATAAAAAAGAAAACCTGAAAGTTCGGGAGATTCTGTTACTGGAACCTCAAGATCAGTTATTGCTGCTGAATTAGTTTTCTCCACCAGAAATTTAACCTACTACTTTAAATATTTCAGTAGTTCTTATCTTCAAGACAATACTGAAGTAGACTTTACTTTCCTTGGGAGGAAAAAATGTTACAGTACATCATATGTCTTGATACTAAATTTTAAAGTTATTGTCCAAGGGCAAATTCTTTACAAATGTGTTTAGTTTTTGACAAAGTATCAAGAGGAACAGAAACGTTTGAGGAGGAATGGATACCATTTTATTTTTTGGCATAGGAAAACTTGAAGTTCTGTTACTGGTAATTTGGCCTGCTAAAAATACTGGTCTCTACTCAAGAAGGAAGGTTATGACGCTATGTACGATGACATTGTGCTCAGCCTAAGACATAAATGAAGTAGAAACTGCCTCAGGGACCTGTGTTCCTGAAGTAAGGTATAGAGATTACTTTGTGGGTGAGATTGTGCAAGATGACCTTTTTTAGTCAAGCAAGAAGGACAGCAACATTAAGCCCTGGGGGAGAAAAAGAATTCCAAAGACTTGTTTCTTCTGTTTCAAGTCTCTGTAGTCCTGTGAAGAGGTTCACCTGTTCAGCTGAGATTTCTCAGCCAATGCAGGCAGGCACAGTTGTACAAAATTACCAGAGCAAATTAGCTCTTTTGGATTGGACGAGAGAGCCAGTGATTTGTTAGGAAGGAGAGTCTGGGTGATTTTGGTAGGGGTGCTTGGCATTCCTTAGCTTATGGGTGAACTCACTCCAGAGCCTGTACATTTTTACCTTTCTGCCTTGATGCTCGTTCAGCTGCCTGCCTGGCTTTGAGAATTGTTCTTGGTGTATTGATCAGGCTGGCCTTGAGAACTGGCCTCCTGGGTATCTGATTACAGGTGTGGGCACCCTGAAAATGTTTTTGAGAAGTGAATCAGTCACAGGGTAGAAAAGGTCATCATTGAGCTTTATCAGTTTAAACTAGGTACTGGAAGCAGTCTTGATGCTCGGACTGTTGCACAAGCCAGCCCTAGTCCTGGACACCGTTGGCCACAGCTTTTAAACAATACCGTATCTTTTTCCACTTAGTGAGCTAAGAGCTAAGAGAGCTCTTCTCTCATCTTGGTTAACTTTTCACTTCTGTCTTCATTCAACAAAATGCCTGTTTGTAGTAACTGGCCAAGCTAGATTCATCACCTTCTCAAATATATTTCTTTTAAGAATTATTTTTTTTTATTTGAGTTTCTGTTCAGAAAGGGCACTGAGTCTCCTGAAACTGTAATTATATAGATGGTTGCAAGCTCCATGTGGGTGCTAGATTTTAATCTGGGTCCTCTGGAACATGAGCCAGTGTTCTTAACCCGGGAGCCATCTCAGTACCTCAGATAGGATTCTGTGATGGTTTTATGACCTAGAAAAATTCCTGTCTTTTGATTTGTGAAACTTTTTCTATTTTTGAAGATAAAATGTAAAAGTGCCTCTCAGGGAAAGATTTTCCTTCACTCCAAACACGATTATCCCTTATATCCATAGTTCTTTGTTATTCTGCTTGCTTATTCAGTAAGTGGCAGCCTAAAGAAGAATCATTCTCAAACTAGCTGAAAACAAACAAACTGAAGAAACATTCTCAGAGAACAGTTTGCTCAGAAACATATACCTCCCCTCTGGCAGAATAACAAGATGAGATTTGAACCCAGATCTGGCTCTGTAGCTACACAAATTCAAGGAGTGAATACTGCCTTGGAGATGACCTTTCTGACCCTGAGAGCCATCATTTCCAGGTGGTATGTAACACTGAACAAATCCCTGAAGATTTTTCTGCCCTCAGCTGTAAAATGACAGTATTTCTGCTATGGAGGTTGTTCCCCAGCGTGCGCGCACGCGCACACACACACACACACACACACACTATCACAAACGGAATGTTATGATATTGGCACCAGAAATTGTAGCAACTGGTAATTGTAGTCTAGAAGCCACTTGGGGTTCTGTATGAAAGCTTTTAACCGTGATGGCAGCATTATACCATTGCTCCTACTTGAAAGTAGGTTCTGCAAGTTTCTTTTTTTATTAAAAGGCTTTTTAGCAACCCAGGCAATGGTGGCACATGCCTTTAATCCCAGCACCCTGTAGAGTCAGAGGCAGGTGCATCTCTGTGAGTCTGAGGCCAGCCTATGCTATAAGACAGAAAAATCTTGTCTTGTAAAACCAAAATCAAAACCAAAACCAAACCAAAACAAAAAAAGCATTCTACCTTGTCATAATGTTAGGTGTGTTATACCTGTGTCCTAGTTGTTGCTATACATGTTTCTGCACTGCTGAGTGCTTAGTTTCCTAAAGGTGTCAATACTTGCCTCCTGGTATGTCTTCCCAGTGGCAACAGGGTCATTATTGCTCAGGAAACTGCAGTTTCCTCTAGTTAGATTCAAATTGGTTCCAGTGTCGCCTTGCACACAGAAGCCACTTTAGAAAGATGCCCTTCTGGCATTTCAGTAGCAAAGTTCCGGTGGCTAGGATCACAGCGGAAATGTAATGGACTATATGTCTCACTGAGATAAAAATAGTCTCTGCTTTGTTTTCATCCAGTGGGGTGGGGGGTATTGTAGCATGTATAAGATAAACACTTTACACTTTAAACCACTGAATAAAATATCTTTACAGATATTCCATCATGTTTATGTGTGATTACATCTAAGTTTCTGGATACAGATAATACTGGGACAAATCAACTGAATTTCAAGTTTTTATGGTAGCCATAGTTTCCCATATAAGAGTAATTCATCCTCCCGCCTTTTCTCCACTTCTCTCCCACCCCCTGCCGTGTACATACACACAGACATGCTGACTCATGTGGATCTGCAGTGGAATATATGAAACTTTGCTCTTGGCTAATCTTACAGATAGCTAAAGCATGTTTTCATGTATTTAACACTTGGTTACGGGAGGCGACTGCTGGTGGAGGGACACATCTGTGATGCTTTGAAAGGTGCAGAGTTAGAGGTGGTGTTCATCAGCCCTTAGGCCACCAGTTGTGCTGTAAAGCAGGTCATTTTTTATGTGTTTGTGGTGTTTGAATTATTTTCTCAGGAAAGCAGCCATTTTTTAAAACTTACACTTTTCTAAAAAAATTTTTTTTTCTGTTGTTCTTTATCTTATAAAAAACTAGTTTGTTGCCTGGGCAGTGGTGGTGTATGTCTTTAATCCCAGCCCTTGGGAGTCTGAGGCAGGTGAATGTCTGAGTTCCAGGACAGCCAAAGCTACACAGAGAAACCCTTTTTCGAAAAAAAACAAACAAGAAACTAGTTTGTTGTGTTTATTATATCTGTTCTTCCCAAATTGGCCATTTGTTACTCTATCCTTGACTTTGAAGAAAATTTTTATGTTCCGATTGTCATCTCTTCCTCCACTTCCCCACACCTGGGGGTTTTAAGAACCTCTAGGCAGATTTTTATAATTGAATTTTTTTCTCTAATAGTACATATTGTAATTCTCTTTTTGGATTTTGTATGTTTCTTTTTCTTTACATGTTTAACATTTTTGGTTTAGTAATTTATTTTGGCATACACTGTGAGAAGAACGTACAGATTTTCCCCAGGTAAAGTGCCTTGGCCTTCATCTAGTTTAAAGTAGCTCATTTTCATTATTGATTTCGGCTATCAGTGGCTATCTACTTTTGTGTTTTGGGTTTCTGTCGGGACCTTTTGTTTTATCCAATTCCATGGACATATTCATGTGCCACCACCATACTGTTTTAATGCTTAGCTGTAAAGGCTGGCACAGGGTTCATTGTTCACAAAGTTTTCCTGATCATTCCTTATCCTCAATGTCATTTTAGAAGGAAGTATTTTTTGTTTGTTCTTTAAAGTTGTATTTGTTAATATTTTGTGGTTGCTGTATTAATTTATAGCTAGAGTTATAATAAAACTGAAGATTTTTGCCTCTTTATTTTTGTCTCAGGTCTGCTCATGTCTTCAAAGCAGTTTTAAATAGTAGTGATCACAAGCTAGGTGGAATAGTGCCCAACTTTAATCCCAGCACTTGGGAGGCAGAGGCAGGTGAATCTGCATGAGTTCCAGGACATCCTGGTCTACATACATAGTGGGTTCCAGGACAGCCAGGGCTATGTAGTGAGACACTAACTCAGGAAAGAATGGTAGAGGTCACAGTAGAGTGATCTCTACCTCATAGGCCTCTTTTTCTCTGTGTCATCCTGGCTGTCCTGGAATTCACTCTGTAGACATATTCTCTAATTCTGACGGCCACGTTTGAAGCATTTTACGTTCATGTTCATAAGTGAAATTAACCTGTGTGATTCTTTTCCTTGTTACTAACCCTAGATAGACTTCTTTGTAGCTCGGGAGTTTGAACCCACACCTTGTAGATGCCAGACAAGTACTCTACCATTAAGCCACAGCCACAGCTCCTGGGTTTTGTTTTTTGGGACAGGGTCTCACTGTGTAGCCAGGCTGGCCTTCACTTAGTGTGTAGTCCAGGCTTAGCCGAGAACTGAGGTGTTCTTTTTTTCCTTTTAATTAGCTTCGGAATAGTTCAAGAACTACTCACTGGTATTTTGTGCTTCTTTAAAGGTCTGATAATAGATTCATCTGTGAATCTTAGAAGGTGTCCTACTATGCGGAGAATAGTTCAGAGTGATTTTCTTGCTTCAGACAACCTATTTTCTCTTTTGGAACCAGTTTTATCAGTTAATGTTTTTCTAAAAATGAACTCATTTGTGTTCAAGTTTTCAAATGTATATGTTGATGCACATTCTGTCTGACCTGACTTTTGTCTCCTTTATTTGTTTCTTTTTTTGTGCAGGAACAGGAAGCATAGTCGTCATTATGATTAGCTACCCAAAAGGACGAGAAATTTTTGATTTGGTGCAAAAAGGCATTCCAGTAAAAATGACCATAGGGACGGGTACCCGCCACATGCAGGAGTTCATCAGCGGTCAGTCTGTGGTGTTTGTGGCCATCGCCTTCATCACGATGATGATCATCTCGTTAGCATGGCTGATATTCTATTACATACAGCGCTTCCTGTATACTGGCTCGCAGTTCGGCAGTCAGGTAGCTACGGATACATATTCGTTTTAACTTTTAAATGGCCGCTCATAAATGCAGTCTATATACTACTCATTTAGCCACACTAATTTCAGTTTACTGAAGTATTCATATGACTTTGATAAAATTTTTTGTTTTGTTTGAAACAGGGTTTCTCTGTGTAAGCCTTGGCTGTCCTGGGCTCTCTGTTAGACCAGGCTGGCCTCAGACTCACAGAGCTCTGCCTGCCTCTGCCTCATCGAGTGCTGGGAGTACAGGCGTGCACCACTGCACCCGGCTCTTCCTGATAAATTTTTTAATTGGAATGATTTTTAAGTCTGGGTCACTCTGTATGTTTGGTTCCTGCAGGTACACATACCCTCTTAGTCTTATTGTAAACAGGGGATTAGCAAAAGGGCATGTGACAGCAGGAACCCTGTTTTCTGACTTGGCGTAAGGGTGAGGAGCAAAGAGGAAGGGCCTGCTCTGCCTCCGCTGCCAACCTGGAGTAGGTGACAGGCCACTCACGAAAGCAGGCCTTTCCTCATGGCGGCAGAGAGAAGAGCCAGAGGCTCCCACTGGCTCTCTCTGTCCTGATGCACAGTAGGCTTCCTGGCCTGGAAACTAGGCTGAACTCTTCTCGTAGCAACTTGTTGAGAGTGGATGGTACCTTCTTCCTGGGCATCATCACTTTTGCCAGTATACAAGTGTAGGAATTGTTTCCTGGAAGTTGAAAAAGTGTGGCTAAATGACGTCACATTTTTAGAGGGCTAGAGTTGCTCTGGGTTCCATTTCAGCTACTCCTGGGCTGGAGATATACCCCTGTGGTAGGGTATTTGCTTAGATTTGTGTGGCCTAGACTTACTCCTGCTATTGCAAATTAGGAAGGAAGTAAATAAATACATTCTTAGCTGGGCTCAGTAGCTCATGCCTATAATCCTGCGTGCTTCAAGCTCAAGGCCAATCAGGACTTTCGAGTGAAGCATTATCTCCAAATGATGGTGATGATGATGATAATTCTTATCAAGTAGCTTATAATTTATATGGCTCTCTTATATATTAAAAGTTAAGATTTTTTTCTAAATTATTTTCATGCATTGTAATGTGTGGGTTACTTTTAAAAGACTATTTAATGCTACTGTTTTCCTCCCCAAGAATCATAGAAAGGAAACTAAGAAAGTTATTGGCCAGCTTCCACTGCACACTGTAAAGCATGGAGAGAAGGTAATACTTTCATTGTGCTTTGTCTGCTTCAGACTGGAGGGTGTTTATGTGTTTGAGAAGTATTTTCTACCTGTTACAGTTCAGTGATAACAAGCATGAGCTTCTTTGTCAAGCCTTCACGTATGTGTTTCATATTGTAAAGAGAGTTGACAGGTGAATGAATGAAGAGGTTGGTGTGGCAGCCTTTAGTCACATGTAAATGTAGTACAGAACAGGCCAGGCTGCAGCTCCGTGGGAGAGCTCATGCTTAGCACGCATGGAGTCCTGGGTTGACTCCAGCACCCCACCTCCCTGAAAGGATCAACGAGTTTAACTGGACGTAAAGAGAGTTACTGCACTGTACGAGCTCAGGGATGCTAATGTGCCAAGATTCGTGTCTTTAGAAGTCCCTGTAGGCCAAGGTGATGATTGTAAGGATGACATGCATTTCAAATGTATGCGCCTGGAATATTTTAGATTCATTCTGTTGAAGATGAGTCTGTATGAGCATTCTCTTCAAGACCCTCAGTTACACAGAGAAAATACTGAGCATCTGTAGAGGAGAGAGATTTCCAGACTACATCTTTAAAAAGGAACTGTTCTGACAGGCTCAGTCAGAGATTGAAAGCATTTAGGGAATAGCGTGGAGCCTGACCCTGAGGTACTGACCCTTGAAGGATTCACCCTTAGAAGGAAAATTTGCTAATGCAGTAGCATTTGCTCTTGAGGAGGCTGTCCTCCACAGTGACAAGCTAGGCTGCCTTGTACCTGTGGGCTGACTCAGTTGCTTCCGTACTGCTCATTTTAGCTCAGTAAGTTTTGACACCCAGTCTGTTTCATCTTCCAGTCTTCACTTGCCTTCATGAAAGGAAGACTGAAAAGAAACTTCTTAATCTTCCTCTTCCCTACTTAAGGGACTTTTCTTAAAAGACATTAAATTATAGACCTTTGAATTTTAAAATTGAAATCTGTTATTATTGGCTTCTTTGGTGTGTTTAGGGTTAAGATGTGTTTGGATTGTATGGGGGGTTCATTCCTTCCCCAATAACTTGTTTTGTTTTCCAGGGTTTCTCTGTAGGCCAGGCTGGCCCCGACCTCACAGAGATCCGCCTGCCTCTGCCTCCCGGGTGCTAGGATCACGCAGGCGTGCGCCACCACCTGGGCACACTGTAGCAGAGTGGTGCCCACGGCCCAGAGAGTTCTAGTTAGTAACTAGCTGTGCAGAGCGTGGGCAGGCTTTTTCAGAGGGGGTAACAGAGTCTGCTGGTAATTTATAGATTAGATGCTGATCTTAGCTGCGAGAGTTGATTTCTAAAAATTTATTTGGTCATCAGTTCATTTGCAGGAAGGAAACAAGTCCTTTGCACAGATTGTTAGAAGTCTACTCCTTACAGCATGGTCCCTCCTTGCAGAAAAGCTCCCCTTTACATGTGAGAAGACAGGCTCATGTGCAGCCTCCTGAGCTAAGCCCTACATACAAATAAATGCATGCTGTTCTCTCCCCATACCCAGCATTTTAAAACGTTCTCTGTGATACCAGGAACCTGTTTTAAAATGGTCAAAATAAATTTTTAAACTATTTCTTTTTTCATTTTTTAAAATGTAAACATTTTTACATTGTGAACTGACATGGGAAAATGATTTTTTTTTCAGTCTACTTCTTATCCAGTTCTGGAGACAAGTGGTTTTTTTTAAAACTTTTTTCTTGTGGATTTGTTTATAATAATGTATAAGCTTATAAATTATTAAAGAATTTAAAATGGTTTCTTGTGTACCATATGATATATGAGTAGAAGTAATTTGTCACAGCATATAACTGAAGGGGCTGGAGAGACGGCTCAGTGGTCAGGAGTGCTGAGTCGTGAAGCACCCCACTGCCAGGCCCCCGCTGCTTCTGGCCTCTGAGGCTTTATGCACACACATAGCGTACATAAATCTATGCAGGGACTCGACACATAATAATAATAATAAGTAAATCTTTTTGTGAACTATCACAGCATATGCTAGAGCAGGCTCCACGGGAGTCCTCCTGTTTTCTGAGGAAAAGGGGGAGGGGTGTGTGGGAGGAGGAGAGGGGAAAGGAAGGGACTGGAAGGAGAGGGGTTAGGGAGACTGCGATAAGGATGTAAAGTGAGTTAATGAAAAAAAAACTGTAAGATTTAAAATGCTGTTATAAAGTTAATTTTAATAGTCTTTGGCAATGACATGTATATACAAAATCAGGTTTTTACTGCTTCCTCATAATTGCCACATATGGCCAAGGGTATGTTTAAGTAATCACTCAAGGTGGTGTGGCTGTGTTCCAGAATGTGAAGTTCTGCAGCCTCAGAGTGCACACTGCTTGAGTTCCTGAATCCCTGCCTCAGAACCTGGGCTTGGCCCCGCTCCGCTGGCCTTACTAACTCAGGAAAGCCTGCGGCCTGTGGATCCTGACATGGAGAAATGTGGCCAGCTCTCCCACCCAGCAGCAGCAGTTTCTGTTCCTTTATACCTTTGCTCATTTGTTAATGATTGCTATTTTACTGCACTGGTGTTTTGCCTGCACATGTATGTGTGAGTGAAGTCACAGCTGTGAGCTGCCATGTGGGTGCTGGAAAAGTAGTCAATCCTCTTAACCACAGAGCCGGCTCTCCAGCCCCCTTTGGTCATTTTGTATTCAAAAGGGTCGACTCATTCTAATTTGGGGGTGGAAAGGTAACACCAATGAACCTTTCAGGTATGAAGGCGTCTGTACACTCTCCGAGTTGTAACTATTCTTTCAGAGGTATAAATTCCTTTTAAATAATTTCAGAATACAAACAGCTTTTTTGAATACTCATTCTCTCTATAAGTTTTATACTTGAAAATACTTCATTTTATCATAAAAGCAGGCATGGTTGGAGTATAGTTAGCTTTGTAGAATATAATGTAGCATTGGTGAAATTCTGAATTCAGTCTCCAGCCCCACATAAACTGGGCCTGGGGGTTCACTACTGTAGTCAAGCTTTTGGAAGGTGAAGGCAGGAACATCAGAAAATCAAGGTCATTGGCTGCACAGTGAACCTGAGGCTCGCCTGGGAACAAGGGACCGTCCCTGAAAAAGTGTATGATTGGCATTTCTGTAGCTCTTGATAGTCTAATGTTTCTTCAAGCACTGTTTCCCCCTTTCATTCAATTTCTTTAAATAACTTCTGACAGTGAGAGAAGAAATGTGTTTCGGGATCAGGTTGCTCCAGCGTAGAGTATGGAGTCTCTATAGAGTCTGTGGAGCACAGACTCCACTGTTCAGTCAGTTTTCTTCTTCTGACTTAGTGTTGTCTGTGTCACATGTGTGCGGCTCTTCCTCTCTTTGCAGGGACTTGACATTGATGCTGAGAATTGTGCAGTGTGTATTGAAAACTTTAAAGTCAAGGATGTTATCAGAATCCTGCCATGCAAGTATGAATACTTTTTTCCTACTAAGATAATTAAAAGTTACTTAACAAGTCTCAGTATTCTGATAAGAGTTCCATGCTTTTCTGACAGGAAGTTCTTGTGATCTTTGCTGTCTCATTTTTCATATTGTCTTCAAGACTCCTTAAAATTGCTCTGCTTCAGAAACTTGTAGGTGACCACTAAGAGCCGTTGTGTGTCTTTGCTTTACATTGGCTTTTGGTCTTACAAGGCTGGTTTAGACTCCATTGTACTCCTACTGCTGCTGCCATGAAAAGAGGCCAGGGCAGAGAGCCTTCAGTGACCTGAAAGTGGGTTGAGGCAGGCAGTAGTTTTGTTTGTTTTTGTTTTTGTTTTTTTTTTTAAGAATTGCTGATTAGGGGCTGGAGAGATGGCTCAGTGGTTAAGAACACTGGCTGTTCTTCCAGAGGTCACCATTGGTTCAATTCCCAGCACCCACTTGGCAGCCCACAACCTTCTGTAACTTAGGTTCCAGGAGATCTCACACCCTCACACAGACATACTTGCAAGCAGAACACCAGTGCACATAAAAATTTAAATAAATGGTAAAAGAATTGCTGATTATCCAGGTGGCACACGCCAGTAATCCTAGCATTCTGGAGACAGAGGCAGGCAGATCTCTGAGCTTGAGGCCAGTCTGGTCTACTGAGTGAATTCCAGTCTAGCCAGAGCTACACAAAGAGACCCTGTCTCAAAAAACCAGCCCCTCCCCAAAATAAAAGAATTGTTGATTAACAAAAGGGTTTGCTTTTTTAAAGTCTGATAAATTTCAGTTAAACTTTTTGTATTTTAGACTCAAGTTACAAATTGGTGTATTTGCTTTTTGAAAAAATATTTTACTATGTATATGGTACATTTTAGTAGATTGAATTCTTGATACCTCTGTTGAAGAAATTTAAAAAAAAGTTTAAAATAGTTCCCTGAGGAAAGTGTCTGTCTACAATCTGTCAGCATTTACATATGGTTAGCGCAGTAGATACCTGATGAATGCGGCCAGTATAAGATGTCGTGTTCTGAAGAAAAGCATGAGGGTAGAGTTGAAGCTGCTTTTGGAGCAGGTCTTTCTGACCAGAGTGATGCGCAAGATTACGTGCAGAGGCGGGAGCCATGTGCTGACGGTGCACTGACCTTTGCACATACTAAGTGTGCACACTCCGAGATCTCTTTATCGGGGTTTCATTTTGTCCACATTTCTCCCGAGCACTATGTTAAGCCTCCCCCATCAAGACTACAAGTTTCTTTCTTTTGTTTTGAGTATTTCTTCTGGGTCAATCAGTTTCAGTATGAAGGTGAATGACCAGCTGGGCTGGACTGTTATATCATTAAGAATTTCTGTTTTGAATGGCACTGGCAGCGTTTTGTTTTTTTTTTAAGATAAAGTCTTTGAAGTAGTGATAATGAACAGTGTGTTGTCGCCACTGTAGTGCAGAGATGAGGAGGCTCCTTGTTTGTGCTGCCTGACACACGCTGGGGCTTGAGCCTCAAAGCCTGTGCTTCACCTTACACATTGCGTGGGAGGGCCAGAAGCTGACACAAACCAGCAAGACGATGTGTATGTGCCTCTGTGGTAGCAGCAGCTGCTTAGTAGAGGGTTTATAAAATGTGCACGAGGAAATGACTGTTCTTTTGGACACTCACCGGTGAGTATTCTGTATTTCCACTGGGTCATTTTGTAAAAGCCACTGGCAGGTTAGGGTCGGCCTGTTCCCGACAGCTTAGTTATGGCCATCCTCACGTAAATGGTTCAGAAGTAGTCTACAAGACACATCAAGGTGGCCGGGCCTGAGGATAGAGCACGGCCCTGGTGCTTGGGAAACAGGGGTGCAAGGGGTCTACATTCAAGGCAGTCCTGGGCTACGGAGCGCATTCTAGGCCAGCAAAGCAAAACAGCACGCACACACGCGCGCGCACACACACACACACACACACACACGTAACTTAGTATGTGGTAGAAATAGATCCACCCTATTTTTGTGGAACAAAGAACTTTCACTTAAAAAAATTCAAGTCCAAAATCTGTTACAGTGGAAAATAGACTAGAAGATAACTTAGATAAGTGACTAGACTACAGTGTAACGTATTGTTGGGTAATTTTTAATAAAGGGATGTGTTGGTAAAGTGCATTATTTCCTTTATAAGATATGGAAACATTTATTTTAAGATATTAATACATACTTAATTTTTTTAGGCATATTTTTCATAGAATATGCATTGACCCATGGCTTTTGGATCACCGAACATGCCCAATGTGTAAACTTGATGTCATCAAAGCCCTGGGATATTGGGTTTGTTACATTTTTGTTTATATTCAATCTCTGCCCAGTTCTTCCTCAGTATCTCACTTTTACTACTGACCAGAGGCCAGAGGAATAGATGAAATGCTCCTTCTGATGTCCGTGCTCTCTTCTAAGGAAGTTTTCACCATTAAATGAATCTGTGGAGTAGCCCACATAGATCAGTGAGCTGAGTTTATGACCCAATGAATTAGCATGCTACGTGTTCCCAGTTTGTAACTACTGAGACAGTGTAGTTCCCCATACTCTGGTGTCCTGTGCCACGTGTGTTTGGTCATAGACTGTAGGAAACACAGCTGCCTTCTGCATGTTCTGGCTTCAGAGACACAGTTTACACACTCTCTAATCCTTTTCACATACTACCCCCAGCAGTGTTTTACATCTGTGCGCACTGTGTCTGGGTTTCACAGTTAAAGACTACAGGCTGAAATTGTCCTGTGTTAGGTTTTGCCCATTATTTTGTGATGTTTTGATTGGCAAGGACCTCAGGAGAAGTGGGGGTAAAAGAAAGATTGTAACAGTAGCCAAGTGTTTGCTCTAGGCCTTAAGCAGTGTTATTTACTCTTCAGGAGCAGCTTACTTTTCATCTAAGGTCTCACAGATGAGGAATTAGTTTCAAACATAAGGTATTTCTGACTGACTTAGCGGAAGTTGATTGTTTTAGATTTCCATATGATCTGTTATGCCTCCGAATAATAGTCTGTCTTGGCTAAGAGCGTTTGACGGGAGTATAGCCTGAGTGCTTGCATGCCTTGTGCTGAAGTGCCAGATTCAGTCCTTGAGTGCATACGCTGGATGAACGACTATGCAGCCCAAGCCATGGTTGCCATGTGAGCGTCCACGGTGTCCTGAGTTGCTGCCATGGACCAGGTCTGGCTGCAGGGCTCCCTTCACCTCTGGCCTGGTGCATCTCCTGTGTCCTCACTGCTGCCAGGCACTGTGGAGTGTTTCACATGTGGCCCAGGACCTCCTCATTACAGCCCCTCAGGGAGAACAGGCGGCACGCAGTAAAGGATTGCTGTGCCGCAAGCGCCTCCTGCTTTGCCCTGGAACGTGTCTTCCTTAGAGAACTCCTAAACTTCCTGTGTTGGCAGTTTCTAATCATCCATCCTTTAGCCTGGGATAGCATGCCTCCCCCAGGGCTTGGTTCACGTCCTCTACTGTAGAAACTGCAGTTTAGCAAGAGGCTGAGCCTTAATGATTCAGAATTTTAAATGAGAAAACAGAGCTTGATGAATGGTTTTCCTGAAAGAGTTAGAATCACACCCTTAGGTGAGCTAGCAAGGTGTGCGAAGTTGTCTTTGTCGAGTGATTCTAAACCAACTTTTCCTGGCTTGACACTTAGGTGAGACCGGTTTCTGTTCTTAGCTGAGCAAAAACTTGCATCCTCCTCCATTTTGTTCAGAGTATGTGCACTTAACATGTGTTTGAGATCAGTCTTCGTTTTACATAAAGTTGAGTTATTGTCTTACTAGAATATAGAGAAACAAAGCGTGTGACCTACTTTGCGAAGGATGGAAAGCTGTTGTAATGTCAAAGCTATGGGTTTGTCTTGTTTGTAATGTTTCCGTTTTTAGAGGTCTCTATTTCCTATCACAAATGGAGTCATAATGACCCTTGATAGAGGCATGAGAGAACGACAGACAGTCCTTTGCTTTGTAGCTGTGTCCACTGTATTCATTGGGTAGACACTGGTCAGAGGAATGTTCTCTTAAGGTGTGAAATTGGACTTGGCCCGGAGATAAATAAGATATAGTCTCTTTACTAATGCAAGGACTTTGGGGAATTACTCTCTCAGGCCAAGCGGGGCCAGTACATACTCAGAGATGCAGCATAGCAAGGCTGTGCATAGCCACCTGGATCAGAAAAGAAAGATTTTCTGTTGCCTTTTAGACATGGAAAGAGGGAGGAGTGTGACTGTCACCTCAGTGCATAACAGGAAGAGCTGTTGCACAGGGATATGAACTTAGGCAGAGCTCAGTGGGGAGTGAGGTCTGGCAGCTTTTCTGAAAAACAGGTTGGGATGAGGCTAAACAGGAGTTGGCATTGTGAGTTAGGAGTTGCCGTCAGCAAAGAGCTATGCTGGATGTTTAGGATGGGTAGTTACTGGTGAGAGAGGAGGGGGCGGTTTTCAAGTGTTCCCAGAGCAGACAGGGATGTCTGAGAACCCAAGGGGGCTGAGTGACTGTGAACTGCACGTGTACAGCCTACCAAACTTTAGTCTCTTGCCAGCACTTTCATCTGCCCACGTGCAGCTTTGGCTCTTAGGTTAGCCAAAAAGAATGTCTGAAGCCCCCGCCCACTAGTGTTGTATCTTACTGTGGTGTGGCTGAGCTCTCTGGCCGCCTTTATCTTCCTTCAGCACCAAGTAGAAGACCGGGAAGCTGGAGACGAACCACAGCTGAGACTGTATGTAAGGAAGGAGGCAGAAGTGATCTTTAAAACAAGCAGAACCTGAAGCCTAATTTAGCTGTTGGGAGCCTGTTTGTCTCGGATGCCCCAGTGTGCGCTATAGAATAGCCCAGGGCTGTCACTGGGCTGCTGGCTGCCTCTTGGGAGCAGCTGTGAGGCTTCAACAGGTTTCGTAAGTGCTGCAAGAAGTTAGTTTCAAGACAGACCCACTCTTTAAATAATTTAAAAGGGGAGATGCAACTTAGCTCAAGCAGGGAAGCTGTCATTAGAGGAAGCCAAACTTGGTAGGTGTTGGAAAGCTGTGTGCCCTTTCCTCATGACACTGGATATAGGAGGTGGTGTGCTTCCCGGCAGATTCCCCATAGAGTGTCAAGGGTGTCTCACATGAGTTTACTAGCAAAATGACCCCACGCTGCTCACTGACACTGAGAAAGTCATTGCCTTTTGTCTGCCTCTCAGGGGGACCCTGAGGACGCTCAGGACCCGCCCATCCCAGAAGCTTCCCCAGGAAGTGTTTCTGTTGGGAATCTGAGTGTGACATCCCAAGATGAGGACCGGAGTGCTGAAAGCAACCTTCCATCATCTTCCTCAAGCGAATCCGGGCCCCACCGCCCCTGTTTTAAGGAAGATGCAGGGGAGGACACAGCGTTATTAGGTATGCGGCTGCAAGTGTAAAACCGTGACATTACCAGGGTGGGATGGAGTGGAAAGCAGAGACATACCAAAGCATACATGAGAACTACGGTCCCACACTTGGAGATACCATTTTAACCTTTGGGTAAATAAATTCTCAAGCACGCATGTTTCTCAAGAATGGGGGAATATCACAGAAATCCTGTTTGGCAAACTGCTCTTTTAATGCGTGATGCTCTTTGCTATTTTTTTTGTGTGACTATGTTGTGCTTTTAAATTTTCTTTTGAGGTGGTCAGTTCATCTCTGCGTTTTCTGTTGGGCTTTTGTTTTATAGTTTCATTGTGTTGTGTAACGTCACATGGCTCACAGTTGTCTTACCTCTGCTTCTCAAGTCGCACTAAGTCTCAGTTCAAGCTCTGTCTCGGTTAATCTTCTAATGCCGTGACAGCACATCCTGACCGTCATGGTGGGGAGCCTGGCAGCAGGCAGCATGGCACTGGAGCAGTAGCTGAGAGCTCACATCTCCGCACACTTGGAGGGACACAGGAAGGGAGCCTGGGCCTGGTGTGAGCCTTTGAACACACGCAGCGCCCCATTTGCATTGGCTCTCCTCCAGTAGAGCCACACCACTAACTCTTGCCAAGTGTAGTTCCAGTGGCTGGGGACTGAGTGCTGGAACAGGTGAGCCCGTGGGGCCATCCTCATTCAAAGCATCAGAGTCTTTAGAGAAGCCATGTTTTAATTTTATTTTATTTTGTAGTGCAGTGGGGCCAATCAAACCTAAGGCTTTGGGCTTGCCTGGCAAGCGTTATACCTCTAACCCTTTCTAAGAACTTTTTAAGTTCAATATTGAGCTGAGACACCTTTAATTTCAGCAGGCAGAGGCAGGAGGATCTCTGTGAGTCTTGTGGCTTGGGCCACCAAGGGAGTCCAGGACAGCCAGGACTACATAGAGACCCTCTTTTGAAAAAATAAATACTCTACAATACAGTACACACGGAGAGAAAGACAGTACAGATCTTTGTCGTATATTTTGTATCCTCTCCCTTGGTTCCTTTATTTCTTCTTGGTGTTGGAGACCTATATTTGTGGGGTTTCTTTCTTTCTTTTTTTTCTTCAAATTGCTTTTTGAAACAGTGTCTTATGTATGCAGCCTCAGATTCTCTAGCAACCTGAGGATGATCTTGAACTTTGGATCCTCTGACCACTACCTCCCAAGCGTGAGATTATAGGCATGTATTACCACATTGGTTATGCGGGCTTGGGGTGAAACCCAGCGTTGCATGCATGCTAAGCAGGTACTCTGCCACCTGAGCTATTTATTGGGATACCCAGCTCTGTCACCTTGCGAGTGTTGAAGTCAGTCCTCTCCTTCTCCTGTAGGTCCCAGGGACCAAACTGAGGTTGTGAGGCTTGTCAGAAGCCTGTAGCTGCTGACAAGTACCTTTACCATCTTACTGGTCCCTCTTCTGCATTCTTTAATAAGCCAGGCATGGTGGTGCACACCTTTAATCCCAGCACTTGGGGAGGCAGATCACTGAGTTCAAGGCCAGCCTGGTCTACAGAGTGAGTCCAGGACAGCCAAGAGACACCCTGTCTTGAAAAACCAAAATAAATAAGTAAATAAATACTGAGTATGAAATTATTTTGAAGGGCTACCTAGTGAGGCACTATTTCCTAACAGAAGGGGGAGGGGGCTAGAGATGGCTTTGTGGTTAAGAGCACTGGCTGCTCTCCAGAGGGCCTGAGATCCAGTCCCAGCCCCACATGGTAGCTCACAACCATCTGTAATTCCAGTTCCTGGGAATTTTATACCCTCTATGGCCCCTATAGGCACCAGGCATGGTTGTGGTATACATACATGTATACAAACAAACATACATACATACACACACACAAACAAACAAAATACCCATGCTCATAAAATTATTTTGTCATTAAAAGAAAATCCCACTAATATTTGATTAAAATTAGTCTATAGATTATTTTAATTGAGAGTAATCGATGCTTCTAATTTTGAATTTGGCTATCCTGAAAAAGATTCCAAAGCAGTAAGATTCAATTAAACTAGTTGGTCTTTTAGCATGTTTAGGGAAACTTAAGGAAATGTTAGAGCTTGAGTTGTATGTTGTGTGGGGGGTGGGGGGGCTGCATATGTGTGTGCTGAAGTGCAGGTGTGCGCACGCGTGTGCAGGCCAGAGGTCAGCCTCCAGTGCGACAGCAGGGCTAGGCTTGCCCCGCAAGCTAGGCTGTTTGTGGCGCCTCGGGGACCCACCCCTCCACTTGCTCCAGGCCTGGGGTTACACACACACTACCACACACAGCTATTTTGGGTGTCCGGGATCCAACGGGGGTAGTAAGCACTTTAGGAGCTTAGTACCGTCCAGGTCCCTAGAACTTAGTTTTAATCGATACTAGAGGAACAGGAATTCAGTGGCGGCTTGGGGATGGATTTCACAAGGTCATAACGCTGGGCCCTGATCCCACCAGTTCCTGGCTGACACTGAACCAACCATTACAAAACAGTGTATTTAGCATAGTAAGGAAGTTTGCTTTTCGGAATCCTGTTGAGTCAAAGTGCACACACTACTTGGCTTGAGTCCAGAAAGAAAACTAAATTTCTTTTCTCAAGAAATGACCCCACTTGTGGAGTGTGTAAACACAGAGGTCTTTCAAAGGCAGCTGCCAGGTGAATATTGCTCGGGTAATACTAGAAAGCCTGCCTGTCGTGTGGAAGGCAGGGGTATTCCCGTGTTTCCTTTACTTGCTGTCTTGGAAATGGGCTGTCATTTTCAGGTAAGTTGTATTTAAAGGTGTGTGGTTTGTCTCTTGAATTACTGTCTCCACATGGACAGCTGTAAGATGTACGTGTGGACAGACCTACTGATCCCTGGCGGCTTCTGGTGCTTTGTTGTAGGAGCCGGCAGGAGTGACCCTCAGCATGGAGGTTCCATCTGCTAGCACCCCCACCGAGAGCGTCACCGCGGCCTTGGCTTGGACTACAGGACATTTAATTTTTTACTCTAGGGTATAGTTTGTATACTTGAAAACAGTGGATATTATTTTACTTTACCTTTCAGATTCAGGTTTGATATACAAAGGGCTGAGATATTTTATTCCTAAAAGACTTTGAATTAGCCTTCATCTATTTATCTACTAAAGTATGATGTCTGTCAGATTTTGTTGTGTCAGACTGTCACAGACAGATACCTGTGTGGGTTCCGAATACTAGACTAGCTTCTGTGGTACTGTAAGACAAGACTCCGAGTCTCAGGCTTTACACAGAGCTCGCCAAGTTGAAGTAGGATTGTTTAATGTCACTCATGATTGATCATGTGGGCTTTCCCTGAAGCAGGGACTCTTAGAACTTATGAAATAGAAATCTTGCCATGTGCACACCTGTAAACCCAGTACTCAGGAGGCTGAGGGCTGAGGCTCTTGAGTTCAAGCCAACCCTGGCCTATGGCGCAAGACTCCGTCCGCCTCCAAGAAGGGGCTGAGGGAGAACTCAGCTAACTGTCTTGCACTGCATTGTCCGTAGAGACTCCAAAACCAAGCATGTTTTTTTATTATGTGGAATTGTGAAAAGAACACTAGATAATTTTATGATTTGCAGTTTACCCTTATTGTCTAATTTCTTTTCACACTTGGAGGAAGGAAATTTATCCATGTTTTTCTACAAATTAAAAAAATGTCAAGAATACCATATTGCATGTTTAAAGCATTAAAATAGTGATTCATTAAGAAAATCAAGTAGGCATACTGTTTTTAAATGATTAGTATATTTCAGTGGATTTAATCTTTACAATTAAAAATTTTAAATTAAAACTTTGATTTTGTTGTTAGGCTAAAATAGCGTTTTCCTAATGAGATTTTAAGCTAATTCAGTGCTGTGACTTTCCTCCTTCTTTCCTCTGCTTTATGTCCTCAAAGGTGAAATCTTTGAAGACTGTTACCTGAGTTCTGTGTAGTTTTCAAGTGCACTTTCATGAGTGAGCAGTCTTGCTGATCCTAAACTTGTGCTGCATGTCTACTTTGTAGACAAAAATAAATGCTTATTGACAAGTTTTTTATGTACCAATTTTATTTGGCATACTCAATCCCAACATTCAGCACGAAACATTTACAGAGGATAGAAAGTGCCACTTTTTACCCAAAGGAAAGAGAAAATATATTCTTGATTCAAAACACTCTACACTTCAGTGATAAACTGAGAGTGCTTTTCTTTTCTTTTCTTTTCTTTTTTTTTAAGTTTTTCTGTATGGATGCTTTGCCTGTATGTACGACTGTGCACCGTCTGCATGCTAGTGCCGAGAGAGGCCAGCAGAGGGCGTCAGATCTTCTGAAGCAGAAGTGAGAGCCGGTTGTGGGGCTTGTGGGTATGGCTATTGAACCTGGGTTCTCTAAAAGGCAGCACTGTGCCCTTCACCACTGGAAAGAATGCTTTAAGAAGCCTATCCCTATCTGATACCTGAAGTCAGAGGTCACCGATCCACGGTCTTTCTTGCTTTTTGCATTAATGCCCTCGGCTGACACTGCTCACAGGGCAGGAGACAGATGTGCATCAGGAACCATCCAGGTTCACTCTTCACATCAAGGCGATGGGAAGATAGTTGCCTTCAATTCACAGCACGTCCTCTGCATACAGACTTAGGAATAAATGCACCGGCATTTTCAGATCTATTTTCCATTTTCTCCAGAGCAAAACTTTGTACTTCATCTTTCCTCACAAGATGTTTTATTCACCATCAGCTACTTCTTGATCTAAGTGGGACCATTTCTAGTCTGTAGTGATCTGTTCTGGTCTTGAGCCCTAACTAGGTGTGATACAGTTTCTCCATCTGCTGTTTGTCGGTGACTGCTGTTAGATGTTTGGATAGCGTCCTCAGTGTTTCCTGTCTGGGACCAACAGGAGTCCCGGGAGTATGGGAAGGGTCCTGGGAACTTGTGCATGTTGGCCCACTGCTGGACAAGGATGGCCAGCAGAACCCCTGGGAGTCGGGAGGGAGGGAGGTGTGCAGGGATTCCACTTGGCATGCCTGGCTATGGGAGGACTTTGATGGTCCTGTTGTCAGGTACAGGTACAAGGGAAATTTTCCCATTTTGAACCACATGCTTTCTGGTTAGTGGTCACTACTAGCTTAACAAAGTGGCATGGTGACTGTGTCCAGCAGCCGTAGGTATGTTCCAACAGTGTCCACGCTGCCTCCATATACACAGGAATCATTCCAGTGAGGTTTGTGAGTTCCTGGAATTGCATCCTTAGAAATGAGTCCAGGACAACTCTGAGATTTTTTTATCGATAATGACAGAAAGTTTAATGTTGAGCCTGTTTGTACGTGGACACTGTCTCCTACAGCTGCCTCTGGGTCAGCCCCGTGGCACCATGTACCATCTTCATAGGCGGAACATCAGCATCGGGGCTGCCCCAGGTCTCCAGAGACTGGCAGAGGCTATCCCAACAGGAAGCCAGTGCCAAGCCATGTCTAAGACATAAGTCATGCTTTATAAAGTCTTAACCACACAGTTTTTCTAGTTTGCCTGTAGCTGCTCATAGTAGAAGACATGGTGAATTTTACTGAAAGGAACGTACAACCGATAAATGTGAGCTGTTGAAGCAGAAAGTCTGTCTGATTTTGAGCACTTTTTATGGAGTCTCAAAGTTGGTTTTACAAGTTCTTGCTGAACCTCACTCCGACCAGTTCAAATAGGAAAACACCAATTCCAAATCAAGTGCTCTGGCTTTTAAGACATACCAGGGAAAATGCTGTAATCATTCTGACAGCTAAGGAAGCTGGTGTTAACAAAGGATGTCATGGTAGAGCAAGGTAAAGTGTTTTAACCATTAGCCATTGCAGGATTATTTTCTTAAGGCAGGGTCTCACTGTTTGATCCGAATTTGAATTCACCCTGCCCTTCTGCCTCAGCCTTCTCATTGGTGAGATTACAGGCGTGTGGACCGCTTCTGACTGAATAGTGAAGATTGGAGGCCATGAAAGAGGCAGTCTGTGACACGAAGGCTTACTGTGGTTCTGCTCTCCTGGCGTTCACTCTGCAGTATGGATTTTGCCTCTCCCAGGAGAAAACCGGAGTTGTGACCACATGGTCTCACTTGGCAGGTAATTGTCTCACATGCTGAATGGATTGGGGTCTTGACCCTTTCTTCCCAGATGGTTGCTTCCTATGGCTGCTGAGGAATGATGACAATAAAAGGCCGAATTGCAGTGTCTCCATCAACAGTTTGCTCTCTGTGTGGGCACACGATGACAAAACCTCCTGAAGCGAATCACAGTCTGACCTCAGTGATGCCAGGGTGGAAGCTCCTGCCTATGGTCCACTTCCCAAGTGGGAGGGGCCAGGAAAGGCCTTTCTATGCTAAGAGAAACCGTCAGTGTCCTAGGATGACTACCCCGACCACAGTGTCGGTGCTCCTTTAGCTACACTCCCCAAATCAAAGACTTGTAAAAGTAACATCCCTTCCAGAATAAGAGCCAGATTCGGCAGCAGTTTCTTTGGGGGTGTTATTTGCTCAAGGAAGAATAAGGTTAAATCAGTGTGCATCTGTTATTAGCTAGACCTTGACATTGTTTCCACAGGTCAGGAAAACACTGCTTGACCGTTTCCTAATGCTAGATGTGGCCTGAGCCAGGGACAGCTTTCTGGTGTAATATGATGCTGTGCCTCCCTGAAGAACAACAGCCTGTGCCTTTTCCAACTCAGTCCTGTTCTAAGCCTTAGGAAGTCTGTCCACTTTTATCACCCGTAACTGTGGCTGCCATGCAGCCTCTTGCATCCAACTACAGCAAAGTTCAGAACAAAGTCATAAGCTGACCCATCTGTGCCCACTCACTGACAATATGAGCAGCAGCTGGGTGTGGCGGCGCACACCTCTAATCCCAGCGCTCTGGAGGCAGAGGCCGGTGGAGCTCTGGAGTTCGTGGGCCAGCCTGCTCCATAAAGCAAGGACATCCAGGGCTCTGTTAAACAGAGAAACCCTGTCTCGAAAAACCAAAAGAAAAAATATGAGGACGTCCATCTTTTTGACAAGTGGTAGGTCGTGTGCTGGGCTGATGAGAAGCCTCGGAGAAACCGTATTTCCTCTGGACCCATTGTAGTTACCAAACCTCAGACTTTGTAAGTCTTGAATGTTCCTAATATAGACCGTAATTACAAGAAAAGATCAGGAGGAAAAGAAATTAGATTTAGTAAGCAGTTACTAAAATTTGACAAATCTGTAAAACTTTTCTAATTATTAATTTCTCAAATTCTTTTATTATCAATAGCTACTTAAAATACTGTCCAAACTGCTGTATAGCTCAGACTCAGAGCCACAATTACCTGGAAACGTCAACTAGAATGTATAAAGTGTGCTACTTAAAATTAGGTGTAAATGGGAACGGGCCCTATAAACTTAGTGATCTTGTTTCTGTAAAGTTGCTTAAATCATTAATAAATGCTGCTGAGATTTATTTAAGTGGTTGTATTTTGGGATTCCAAAATGTTTTTATAAAACTTCTACTCTCAGCCAGGCACAGTGGCGCACGCCTGTGATCCTAGCACTAGGCAGGCAGATCTCTTTAAGAGTTCGAGGCCAGCCTGGTCTACAAATGAAGTTTGAGACAGACAAGGCTACACAGACAAATCCTGTCTCAAAAACAAACAAAAAAGTTCTCTTTATTCCTACTGATTAGTGTTTTGTTTTGCTTTTGAACAGGTGATTGGAAGACTTTTAAGGTGGACTAAAAAACTTCACGAAGTTATTTAACCTGTTAAAATTAAACTCATTTGATTATACTTAAAAGTTGATTGTGGTTATTCACGGACTCTCAAGATTATAGTTTTTTGTTTGTTTTTTGAGATAACTTGCTGTCCAGGCAGCACTTAACTTGCCAGGTTTAGGCCATCTTGCTTCAGGCTTCCCAAACAGCTGGGACCACAGAGTTGGCTGCACTGGTCTGTGCACCGTCCTTTTAAACACGCTAAGCCAAGAGCCCTCTATGGTGTTACAAACTCACATGTCTGATGTTTGCCAAGCACAGGTGCTCTTGTAAACAGGTGCCGTCTCCCTGGTAACACCAAGACTGCGATCTTAACCTTCTTTATTGCAGGGTCCTTACTCAAGAATTTTACTTGGAATTCCAAAATCAAGAGGGACAATTTGAATTTTTCCTGTGTGTGTCACCACACAGCTTGTTTTCTGATACACAAGTATGAGGTTTTCGAGATGCTTGTGCCTTTCTAGTCAGCTTTCACGGTGAGGGTCCCTTCCAAGCTTGCACCTTATTGGGGGATATTGGGTTTGTCTTGGCAATTATATTTTTAATATATCTGTGTTTGTTTTTCGAGACAGGGTTTCTCTGTGTCCTGGACTCGCTCTGTAGACCAGGCTGGCCTCAAAGTCACAGTGATCTACCTGCCTCTGCTCCCTCCCCAAGTGCTGGACTACAGGTCTGCGCCACCACGCCTGGCTGGCAATTACATTTTAAAAATGAACAAATAATTAAATACCATCTAGTATATAAGCTGAATAAGGCTGTGACTGGCCTTATGGACAAAACACATGTTTAATAAAGTTTCAGAGTTTGGTCATGGGTCCTATTTCTGTTCTTGTTGGCTGCAAGTTAAATGTGTTTCACTGAACTCGTAAGCAGCCATCCTTTTCACATCTTGACAGGGGATCTGTCAGCTGCAGAGTTCATGCGCAAGAGCCACAATCAAGAAAAGTGCACACACATAACCTTCCCCTGAGAAGCTGCCATGCTGATATTCAGTAAGTTTTCAATTTGCAGTTGGTCAGTAGCCACAGCCACACTGGATTAGCATGCCTGCCAGCTACAGGACGGTTTCCCTCAGATAGTCCTTGAAGCTTGTCGTTCTAAATGTTTAGGCCACCGGTCTGCACAATGGTGGTGGCCGCTGGGGGCACTGAGAACGTCGGCTGTTTAGTTTTACCATTTCCCGTCTCTTCTCCACTGTAACTTGTACAATAAACAGAACCACCAAGCTTGCTTTCCTTCAACTTTTGCCAAATGCTGACAAACACTGTCCCCATACAGCATTTCTAGAAA